GGCTCTACATTTTCTCATTCCTTCAACCTTTCTTCTACACAAACCACACTGGCCTCCATGTTTTTCATACATACACAGAGTACTTCTACCCCAGGGCCTTTGAGCTCTTTGTTGTTCTTTCCAGGAACACTCTCCTTATAGAAATCCCAGTAGCTTTCTTCCCCATCACCTTATGTTGTTATTGCTAGGTGCCGTCTAGTCAAGTCAGTACCTATTCATAGCAACCCTATGCACAACAGAACAAAACACTGTCCCGTCCAGGGCCAACCTCATAATTGTTGCTATGCTTGAACCCATTGCTTCCCCCACTGTGCCAATCCATCTTGTTGACGGTCTTCCTCTTTGTCTCCAACTCTCCACTTTTTTTTGGTTCTGACTCAGGGACGTTTTATTGGGCTTCCGAGGTTCAGAAAGCCTCATCTTTCTCCCACGGAGCAGCTGGTAGATTTGAACTGCTTACCTTGCAGTTAGTGGCTCAACTCATGGCCCGCTACTCTACCAGGGCTCCTATAAAGTTACAGTAGACTGTTGTATTCACTAGGTCCCATTTTCCAATTGGAATTTCTAAAGTCTATATGGTTATAGTAATGGATAATGAAAGCGAGAATTTCTTGTTGGCCACCTGAATGTCTTCTTTCGTGAAGTGGCCTCTACCCATTTTTTAATTGGATTATTTGTCTTCTTGTTGAAGTGTTAAAGTGTTCTATAAATTTTAGAGACTAGTCCCCTTTCTGATATGTCATTGCCATTCCGCGCCCCCAAGTCTGTGGGTTCTGTTTTTACTCTTGGTAACGTTTTTTGATGCATGAAAGTGTTTGGTTTTTAGGAGGTCCCAGTCATCTATTTTGTCTTTTGCTGTTTGTGTGTTGTCATTTATATTTAATAGTATATTTATGCCATGTATCAGAGCCCCTGGAGTCCTAGTGTGGCACTGGACCACTAACCACAAGGTCGGGGGTTCAAACCCACAAGTCACTCCTCAGAAACCCTGTACAGGGTGGCTATGAGTAGGAACCAACTTGACAGCATTTAACAACAACAACAGAGTCCCTTAGTTTGTTCCTATTTTTTCAGTGATGATCTTTATAGTTCTTAGTTCTAGATTTCACATTTAGGTCTTTAATCCACATTGAGTTTGTTTTTATACGTGGTGTGAGATATGGGTCTTGTTTCATTCTTCTGCAAATGAATTTCTAGTTTTGCCAGCATCATTTGTTGAAGAGACTATTTTTTCCCCATTTAATGTGTTTTGGCCCTTTGCTGAAGATCAGTTGACTATAGGTGGATGGATTTCCTTCTGGGTTTTCAATTTGGCTCCACTGATATATGTACCTTTCATTGTATCAGTATCAGGCTGTTTTGAGTACTGTGGCTGTGTAGTAGGGTTTGAGATTGGTAAGTGATTGGCCTTCAACTGTGTTCTTCTTTTTTAGAAATGCTTTACTTATCCAAAGTCTCTTGTCTTTCCATATAAAGAAAGTGATTAGTTTTTACCATCTCTTTGAAGAATGATGCTGGAATCTGGATTGGGATTGCATTATATCTATAAATTGCCTTGAGTAGTGTTGACATTTTCATGATGTTAAGTCTTCCTATCCCTGAGAATGGTATATTTTTCTCTTTTTCTAGGTCACTTTTGGTTTCTTATAGTAGTATTTTATAGTTTTCTTTATATAGGTCTTTTGTATAAGTATTGCATCTTTTGGGTGGCTACTGTAAATGGTATTGTTTACCTGATTTCCTTTACAGAGCTCTCTTTATTAGTACAAAGGAATTCAACTGATTTGTGGCTGTTGTTGATCTTGTACCTGCCACTTTGCTAAATCTTTCAATGAGTTCCAATCATTTTCTTGCTGAGTCTCTAGGACTTACTATGTATAAGATCATATCTTCTGCAAATAGAGAGAATTTACTTCTTCTGTGCCAATTTGAATGCCTTTAATTTCCTTTTTGGGGAGTGCAGTGGGATAAGCACTGGCCTGCGAACCTCAAGGCTTTTAGTTTAAGCCTCCAGCCACTCCATGGGAGAAAGATGAGACTTTCTGCTGCTGCAAGAATTTAAAGTCTTAGAAAACCTGTACAAGGTCACTATGAGTTGGAACCATCTCAAAGGCACTTAACAACAACAATTTCCCTTTATTGCCTTATAGCTCTGGCTAAGACCTCCAGCACAGTATTGAGTAGGAGTGGTGATAAAGGGTGTCTGTCTGGTTCCTGTTTGCAAGGGGAAGACTTTCAATTTCTCTCCATTCAGAGTGATGTTGGCTTTTGGTTTTGTATATATTCCCATAATTATGTTGAGGAATTTCCCTTTTATTCCTATTTTGTTGAGTATTTTTATCATAATTGGGTGTTGTTGTTGTTGTCAGGTGCCATCGAGTCGGAACCGACTCATAGCGACCCCATGCACAGCAGAACGAAACAATGTCCGATCCTGGGCCAACCTCACTACCGCTGCCACACCGAGTCCATCAATGATGCCACCTGGCTGATCCATCTCATTGGGGGTCTTCCTCTTTTTCTCTGACCCTCCACCCTACCCAGCATGACATCCTTCTCCAGCGATTGTTTCCTCCGGACAATATGTCCAAAGTAGGAGAGACGAAGTTTAGCCATCCTGGCCTCCAAGGCGTACTCTGGCTGCACTTCTTCCAAAACAGATCTATTGGTTCTTTTGGTTGGGTTTAGTCAAATGCCTTTTTTTGCATCAGTTATATGATCATGTGTTTTTTTTTCCTTTTTAAAAAAATTCATGTAGTGAATTATGTTGATGGTTTTTCTAATATTGAACCACCACTGCATGCCTGATATGATTCTAACTTGGTCATGGTGTATTATTTTTTTGATAAGTTGTTGGATTCTGTTGACGAGCATTTTGTTGAGAATGTTTGCATCCATGTTCGGTGGGGATATTGGCCTTTTCTTTTTTAGTGATGTCTTTGCCTGGTTTGGGCATTAGAGTTATTCTTGCTTCATAAAATGAATTCAAACGTTTTCTTTTCTTTTCTATATTCTGGAATAGTTTGAGTAGAGATAGTATCAGCTCTTCTCTGAATGTTTGGTTTGAATTCATCAGTAAAGTCATTTGGACCTGGACTTTTTAAGTGGGGAATCTGCTCACAAGGTTTTAAAGTCCCAGTTGCTACTCATCAAAGTAGGATGTAGACCATGGCCTTTGTGGACTAATTGCTATTATGCCAATGACCTGAGTGTCCTCTGAGACTATGGTCCTGAGTCCCAGGAATATAAATGTCTTGATAGTCATAATAAATACCTTTGTTGCTGGCTTTTGTATGCACCGCACTGTACTTTCTTCATAGAGAGTTTACCATATAACAGTGTATATTTCAACTTGTAGTCAGCAGCATCCAAACTTGCATGTCATGCATCTTTTGACTGTTGTAGCATTATCTCTCTATTTGGTTTTCTTTAAAAGATTACCATGAAATGCACTGTGGCTCCCAAACCCAGGAAAACCAGTACTGCTGTGTGAGCAGGAGCATGGAGCAAAGGCAAAGTATCAAGTTGGAAGTGAAATAAAAAGTCATTAGACAACATGAAGGTGGAAAATCAGTGATTCCTCATGATTTAGGCATGTTGTACTTGACAATCATGATGACCTTCAAAAACAAAGAAATTCTCCAAGGTCCTAAAGGATCCCCTCCACTGAAAACTACAAGGTTAATGAAAATGAGAGGAGGATCTATATCAGATATGGAAAATTTGCTAATGACATGGACTGAGAACCAACAACCAAAGTGAATCTTTCTCAACACATTGACAATCAGTGCTAGGATGCAAGGAAACAAATTATTTCCCTAAAGAAAAAGTAGAACCAGACTACGATATGGCATTCATACAACATCCACATCGCATAGCATCCTATTTCACAGAATATATTTTGGATTTATGTGATTTATGACTGTAATTACTTTGTGTATTATCTTTCACACTAGAATATTACCTCTATAAGGGCGGGAACTTTGTTCTACTCAGTAATGTATCCTTAGCTCCCACAACAGTGCCTGGCACAGGGTGAAAGCTGAATACATATTTGTTGAGTGAATGAATGAATGCAAGTAAGATCCTTGACCCAGAGCCTGAGGACATAAACTAAGCTGTTGTGCTCTTTTATGATTGGGACAGTCAGCCAGCCCTGCAGAATGAAGAGATCTATAAAGGTGGTTCTCTCCTCCTTGTCCTTGGTCCCTTTCTGTGCCTTTCACAGTTGTACATTCTCTCCGTGTCGTCACTTGAGTCCCAGTGCCCTCTCCATTTTACCCACCCAAACAGTGCCCTAGTCTGCACCAGGTGTGGGCTCCAACTCTTCATAGCACAGCTCTGTGTATAAACAAGGGTGAGCAGCTTACCTGTACCCCTCTAGGGAATTTCCTCTTGGATCAAAGGCATGTGCTAAGGAGACTTCCTTGTGCAAGGTAGTCTCCTGGGGATGAGGGTGCAGTACAGCATCCAGAACCCCACCCAAGCTGATTCTGAGATTGGAAACCTGGAACCACATAGGCCAGAGGAGTCTAATTATGGGCCTGCTGTTAGTGGGCACAGGACATGCAGTTAATAAGAAGAAGCAGTATGTCCTGTCTGGAAGAAAGGACAGACACCCTGAAATGGAACCTGAGCAACTCCCTAACAAGAAGTCTTCCTGCTCCAGAGAAATAATGGACAATCCACCAAATCATGCATTTCGTCATCTGAATGCTATAGTGTCCCTATGACCAGGCAATGTGCTAGCTGCAGGGGAAATAACAAGGATGACTGGGACACTACCCCGCTTTCAGACAGCTGTAATCCAGAAATCCGTATGTTCTTGGATGGAACCAGAAATGCCAGCCGGGCTTGGGAACAGGGCAGGAGGCAGAATGAGCCATGTCTACATCTGCATCAAAAATCCCAACTCTATGCACTGCATCCCATCCTCCTAGTATGGGCTCCCCCATGTATCCAGGTAACTTCTCTACCTTTTGCCTTTCTCTGACCTGCAGGTGATCCTTGGGAAGCTGTATGAGACCCGGAGTAGTCAGCTGAGAAAGTACAAGCCACCTGTGAAGCTGGATGCACTCTGGCAAATGCCTCACTTTCAGAAGGTCAGAATTCACCTCCATTTGCTCCTCCCTGCACCCAAAGCAGAAAGCCAGTGCCTTGACTAGCTCTTTGTGCCATCTCCAAGTTCTGAGACCCCACGTAACCACACTAGAACTATTTTCCATAGCGTTTTCAAGGCTCTGGCCTTTTGGAAGCAGCTCACCAAGCCTTCTTCCAAGGCACCCTTGTGTGGGTTTGAACCTCCAACCTTTTAGTTAGTAGTTGAGTGCTTAACTTTGTGTGCTATCTAGGGACTCGGAATCAATTTGAAAGCAAGTAGTTTGTTGGGTTTGGCTTAACCACCCATTGTCATAACAACAATAATCAGCAATTGTTGTTGTTGTTAAGTGCTATTGAGTTGGTTCCGACCCATAGCAATCCTGTATAGGGTTTTCGAGGAGCAGCTGGTGAGCTTGAACTGCTGCACTTGCAGCTCAAATGGCTTTGCAGTCTGGTGCATTAACCCACTGTGCCACACCAGGACTCCAATCATAGCAATAGCTAATAGTTAATGAGTATTTCCTAAGTGCTCCACTTAAATTAATCTCATTGTATCTTTACACTCACTGGAGGAGCTACTGTTACCAGCCCCATACTCTAATTGGAAACTGGCCCATAAGATAGCTGGTAAGTGACAGAGTTTAGGGTTGGACCCACGCCATCTGACAGACTGAAGACCCTGTGTGTATGTCCACCTTGAGTGGATATTGTCTGGGCAAAACAGCCCTATGGAGATGGTGTCGTGGGGTACCAAGTCTGGGGCTGGGGACTTGGGGCTTCCCCAGTGCCAAACCTTCCACAGGGTATTATCCCCACAGAGGACTGATAGAGGTACATGACATTCACCCAGATGGGTCTAGACAAGGACCCGCAAAACCACCATGCTCAGGCCCCAAAACTGAGCCTGTGTTCACTTAGCCACGTAGAGTTTCATCTTCAGCAGCTTTTAGGCAGGAAAGAACGGCATAGAGCTGAGGATTGGGAGACACTGTGCAGAGGAAGGGAAATGCAAGATTTGGGGACAGCAGTTTCAGGATGGGAGGAGGCTGCATGTGATCCATTCAAACACAGCAAGCCTTTCCATCTGGTCACAGGGGACATGCCTGCTCCCCGAAAAGACAGCTGCATCAACAACGTTCCTGGCCAGCCCAAGCCCAGTGCTGTGTTGTGTTAAACTGCAATTTAGACAATGAAGGGGCCTGTGCCTTCCTGAGGCTAATGCATTTGAACAAGCTGCTGAGCTTCGAGGAAGAAACCTGCTTCACCCCCCACCCCTTGATGTGGCCTCTCATGTCCTGCCCAAGTGGCCTCCATCAGCATATGTCAGTGACCATTTGCCTGGCTGCTTTTCAGCCCACGCAGCCGCCACCACCAAGCACATGGTTTGTGTCAAGGGAAGAACATACTGAGTGCTATTTAGGAGGTGGGGAAGTCACTGAAATGCACCAGAGTCCTTGCTTTGTAGCTCCTCTCCAACACTCATCTCTGGTTTCTCTGTCTGTCTCCATTTACTGCTTGTCTCAACAACACCCTTCCTTCTCCCTTCTCTTTCTCACTCTCAGCATTTCCTCCCATTGCCTCTGTCCCAGTCCCTTGCCTTTCTTCCTTTGCTCCTCTCCTTCCTCTCATTTTCCCTGATGTCCATGGGGCATAGGCAACCAGGGATACAGCCCAAAGACCAGGACCCACAGCTGCCTGGAATTTAATAAAATGCCCTCTTGGTGCCCTGTTTGCAGTACCAACTCCTTTATCTTCTACTTGGAAACCACCTAAACTATCAAGGCAACGGTCAGTGGAGGATGCAGGCCTTACTAACGGTCAGTGGAGGATGCAGACTGTTCTTCCCCCAACAGAGCAAGGAAAGGGGCATCTCCTTACCCCAACCCTCAAGTGACACTGATACTGTGATGCTAGGAGCTGCTTGTCCCCTATACCTTTGTAGCCTCCCAGTACTTGGCCCATAGCATGAGCTCAAATGCGTAAATGAATGAATGAGCTCCTACTTTCAAAAGAGAGAGTGAGACTAGCTGCCATGGTCTCTCCCAGTCCTTAGACTGCTATTATAAACACCACTAATGATAGCCTTTAGAATAGACATCATTATTCCTATGGGATGAACCAGAGTCTGAGTGCCCTACATAGAGAAGGACTAGATTTGGAACGCGGCTTCATGTGAACACACGCCCAAGCTTGTAGGCACTACTCGCTGTGTATCATAGAATATGAGAGTGTAAACCTGCAAGCTCCAGTATGCATAGGGTATTTTCAACTTTTCTGAGGATGTTCACATCCCACTTCTCAGGATTCTGTGAGGTAGAGGCACCATGTCATCCATTCCCTGTTGACCAAGGGAAAGGAGGACTAACTTGTGTGAGACCCTTAGAGCAGGGCTCACCCCTGGGCTCTGTCCTGTACAGTTCAGCAGAGACCCGTTCGTCCTCAGAGTTCTGTTGTTACAGGTACGATGTTCAGTACTCTCCTTTTTGGGAGATGGCACATTGGTATTTATGAGGCCTTACTATCTGTCAAAGAAACACTGGTGGCACTGTGGGTTAGGCATTGGGCTGCTAACAGCAAGGCTGGTGGTTCAAACACACCAGTTACTCCAACGGAGAAAGATGAGGCTGGAAAGATTCAGTTGTAGAAACCCTATATGGGGTCACTGAATCAGAATCAGCTCGATAGCAGTGAGTTTAGTCTTGGCTTTACTGTGTGCCAAAGAGCCTTGGTGGAGCTGTGGGATAATCATGGAGCTGCTAACCACAAGGTTGGCGGTTCAAACCCACCATCCGCTCCTGGGGAGAAAGATGAGGTTGTCTGCTCCCACAAAGATTAGCAGGCATAGAAACCCTAAGGAGCAGTTCTACTCTGTCCTATAGGATCTTTATGAGTCAGAATCAACTCAATGGCAATGGGTTTGGTTTAGAATTATGTGTCAAGTGGTGGGCATTCATTATCTCGTAGATGTATAGATGTAATGTATCCATTCTACAGATGTGCAAACTGAGGCCTAGAGAGGTAAAGGACCATGGCTGGTAAGAAGGGGATCCCAGATTCATTCTGGGCTGCCTAACCACAAGGTTGGTCTGTGATGCCTTGCAAGGAATCCTTCTCTGACTTCTCAGCTCCCCACGAACAGGCCCACTTCTTCACCATGGAAGGGCTACCTTCCTCTTCCCAGCTTTTTTCAAACACTACAATTAATGTATTTGTTGTGCAATTTGCTGTTCCATTCCCTCCTCCTTGTAGAATGTGAGTCCCACCAGAACTATGCCTAGCATGGTGCATGGCACCTAGTAAATGTCTGTTGAATGAATGGCGAGCTCAGACTAGAGGAAGAATTTAAAACTCATTCACAGACCTTCCAAAAGCCCCCTTCCCAAACTAAAGGCTCCAGAACCCACCACCGCTGGTAGCCACAGAACTGAGACTGGGGGCAATTCAGGAGGCCCGGTGCAGCCAGAGCTGTTAAACACTGCTAGGCCCGCTGCTGGCATCCAGAGCAAAGCCCCAGGAGGGTCTTTGTGCCTCCTGTCCTTACTGATCCGCCGCCCCTCCCCCGCTCCCACCCCAGACCCCATTATGAAGGGAAACAGCGCTTCCAAAAAGTTGAACCTGTCAAGGTGATGGATAGCCTAAATGGACTCTCCCCTCTCACGAACAGATGTCGACGCTGAACTCTGTCAGAAATAATTAAACACCTTTCACATGGAAAAGCAGCAGGCAGGGGCGCAAGGCCGCTGCTCCGGCTGGGTCAACGCGAGCGAGCAAGCTGGCTTTCTGCACCAACTTCGCCAGCCACGAAGGGGTGCTCCGCAAGGGGCTGCTGAGCGCCCCGCCTGCCCAGGGATCTCGGTGGGCACTTAGTTGGGTCGTGAAACTCACAAGGGTCAAGAATAGGCGATGAAAACATCCCTTAGCACAGTTCCAGACAGAGGGTCAGCTGACTGCTAGCAAGTGGCTTTCAGGTTGTTGTTGTTATGTGCCGTGGAGTTGATTCCGACTCATAGCGACCCTGTACAGGGTTTCCGAGGCTGTAAATCTTTAAGGGAGCAGAAAGCCTCATCTCTCTCCCTGGAACAGCTGGTAGTTTCTAACTGCCGACCTTGCGGTTCACAGCCCGATTCGTAACCACTACGCTACCAGAGTTCCTTGGCTTTCAGGTGGGGACATTAATACTGTGCCTGGGGCCAGCTGCGAGGCCAGGCCAGTCACCGACCCTTTCTGGGCCTCAGTTTCCTCATCGGAAAATGAGGGGGTGGGACTAGGTTCTTGAGGGCCTCTTCCAGCAGGAATTCTGTGATTCTGGTTCCACTGGTTGTGGAACCATGTAGGTGGGGGAGTGGGGACCCCTGGAGGAGGCACACCCCAGAGTTAACTGTCAGGAGAGACAGCTTGTACCCTCCCTCAGAGTCTCATTTGGGGATAGGACAGGAACTCATTGTCTCCCAGCCACCCAGTAGAGGTGGCACTGGGGTTTGAGCACCTCTGTACAGGGTGCATTGGGGAAGGGGATTGGGGTGTTGGCAGGGAGGGAGAAGAAAAGCAGGGTGAGCCAGAGAACCTTACTTACTACTCCCTGCCTGTCAGGTGGTTGTTCCTGACCCCAGGGGCTTTATGTGAGACCCAATTTTCTATAAAATAGGCCAACGCTGATTCCCTGGCAGGGTTATGGGAGGGTTACTGTAAGAGGAGATATGTGTACAAGGTTTAGCCCTGTGTCTAGTCATGGTTCATTCACATATCTTTTCATTGAGCACTTTTGTGCTAAGTTCTGTTCTTGGCACTGGTGATATTGTGGTGACCAAGCCACCTTCAGTTTATTACTGCTGCTGCTATGCTATTGGTGTCTGGTATGGATGGAATGGATGGATGGATAGGCAGGTGGCTGCCCAGGTGGATGGCTAGACTGTGGACATTTGGAGAAGCTTCAGTGGTCAAAGACCTGAAGCAGAAGGGAGACATCAACCTTAGATGGCAGCCCAAGTTTGGGGTGTGGGCA